CACCCCCCCCCCCCCCCGCTGCCCCGCGCAGGCCCCGCCCCCAGCCGGTGACCAACCTGAGCGAGCCCTGCCGGAGCTGCGGCCATGCACTGGGTAACCCCCCTGCGGAGCGCCCGGGACCCCCCTGGGGAGGGGGAGCGGTGCTGTGCCCCCCGGTCTCACTGTGGCTTTCTCTCTGCCACAGCGGACCACGTGTCCCACCTGGAGAACGTCTCGGAGGAGGAGATCAACCGGCTGCTGGGTATGGTGGTGGACGTGGAAAACCTCTTCATGTCAGTGCACAAGGAGGAGGACACGGACACCAAGCAGGTGTATTTCTACCTGTTCAAGGTGTGTCTGGGGCTGGACACGTTGCGCAGGGGTCCCTCAGCATTGCCAGGGAGCTGGGGCTGCTGTCCTGCTGCTTGTCCTCTGCCTGCTCTGCTGGGAGCTGTGGTCTGTGGCTGTGAGCCATCCCACCAGCCCATCTGGAGACCTGAAACGCTGATTCTGCTCTGGGGGCGACTGCTCTCCTGGCCTTGAATTCCCCTGGGAGGGAGGTTTCCAGGGAAGAAACGGGCATGCTCCGAGGTGGACCCTGGCACCTTCCTGGCTGTGTAAATCAGTGCAGCCCCGCAGCAGCATTCTGCCACTTCCACTGCTCGTGGTGTGCCTGGTCTTGGGACCTCAGTCCATAACTGTGTCCGATGGTGTCTTCGCAGCTTCTGCGGAAGTGCATCCTGCAGATGAGCCAGCCTGTGGTCGAGGGGTCCCTGGGGAGCCCCCCCTTTGAGAAACCAAACATTGAGCAGGTGAGGCCGCTGTCAGGCTCATGCGTTGCACTGATGACTTGTCCTGTGTTTTGCTGCTCTTGCACGGTCCCCTCCCTCTCCGGGGGGGCAGCACTGAAGGGTCTGGTGCAGCACCCGGTGCCCCTCCACCACCCCTTCCTCTCCACAGGGAGTCCTGAACTTCGTCCAGTACAAGTTCAGCCACTTGCCACCCAAGGAGCGGCAGACCATGTACGAGCTCTCCAAGATGTTCCTGCTCTGCCTCAACTACTGGAAGCTGGAGACGCCGTCCCAGTTCCGGCAGCGCTCCCAAAATGACGATGTGGCCACCTACAAGGTCAACTACACGAGGTGAGGGCGGGAGGGGGTCTGAGCCAGCCAGCCTGGGGGTCTGCCCGCTCCTCCCACACCTGCGTGGGGCTGGCCCCTGACTCCTGGGGTCTATGCCTCTCCCCTGCTCTCCTCGTCCCTGCTTCCAGTACTGTTGTCCCAGGAGGGATGCGGATGCTCTGGGGTCGCTGGTCCCAGCCCCGTCACTGGAGCGTGTTCTTGTCTCCTAGGTGGCTGTGCTACTGCCACGTGCCTCAGAGCTGCGACAGCCTTCCCCGCTATGAGACCACCCACGTCTTTGGGCGCAGCCTCCTGAAATCGATCTTCACGGTCACCCGCCGGCAGCTTCTAGAGAAGTTCCGGGTGGAGAAGGACAAGCTGGTGCCGGAAAAGCGGACACTGATCCTCACCCACTTCCCCAAGTAGGTGCCCGCTGCGGGGATGGCTGTTGCACCACTGAGGAGGCTCTCCTCCCTTGGGGCACTCGCACACCAAGCACGACCGCCTGTGCTCCCCACTGTGTGCGGAGCCATGGGGCTGTGCGTGCCCAGTGCCTGCTCACCGGCTGACGTGCCACTCCCTGCCAGGTTCCTGTCCATGCTGGAGGAGGAGATCTATGGTGAGAACTCTCCGATCTGGGAGGCTGATTTCACCGTGCCAGCCACAGAGGGTGCCCAGCTGGTGTCTCGCCCAGGTATCTCGGGGAGCAGCCCCCCCAGCTTGGGGGCTGTAGGATAAAGGACCGAGGTGGTGGGTGAGCCTTGGCCAATGGCGGTGGCTGGGCTGCCACGGTGTGGCAAGCTGCTTTCTGGCAGTCACGGGTTGTTGATCTCCCTGGGCCAAGGGCGGTGGCTGGGCTGCCACGGTGTGGCAAGCTGCTTTCTGGCAGTCACGGGCATTGTTGATCTCCTCCAGCCGCGGTCAGCACCGTTGCTGTGCCCACCACTCCACTCTTCAGCAAGAAGCTCAGCAACAGCAGCTCTGCCGCGAGCATGGATGCCAGCACTCCAGAGCCCCTGCCAGGTAGGGCTGGTGTGAGCCCAGCACTGGGAGAGCTGGGACCTTCCTCGGTCCCTCCCGGTGCTGGATGTGCCGCTCTGCTCCGCGCCCCAGGGGAGAAGCGGAAGCTGCCCGAGAGCCTGACGCTGGAAGATGCCAAGCGGATCCGCGTCATGGGAGACATCCCCATGGAGCTGGTGAACGAGGTCATGCTGACCATCACGGACCCCGCTGCCATGCTGGGCCCCGAGGTACGGGGTGGGGTTTACTGAGGCGGCACCGGTGCTCTCCAGGGCCCGCAGAGAGTCATGGGAGACATCCCCATGGAGCTGGTGAACGAGGTCATGCTGACCATCACGGACCCCGCTGCCATGCTGGGCCCCGAGGTACGGGGTGGGGTTTACTGAGGCGGCACCGGTGCTCTCCAGTGCCCGCAGAGCTGATTTCCTGGTGTGCTGGGGCCTGGCTGGGCTCCCCCCATGGAGGGTGTGCTGGGGTCACTGAAACCCCCTGCACCCCCCAGACCAGCCTGCTGTCGGCAAACGCGGCACGGGATGAGACGGCCCGACTGGAGGAGCGCCGTGGCATCATTGAGTTCCATGTCATCGGCAACTCACTCTCGCAGAAGTCCAACAAGAAGATCCTGATGTGGCTGGTGGGCTTGCAGAATGTCTTCTCACACCAGCTGCCCCGCATGCCCAAGGAGTACATCACTCGCCTCGTCTTTGACCCGTGCGTGGCTCAGGGGGTGTGGGGGGAGCTGGCATGGGGGGGCTCCCATCTCACCCTTGGCCTCGCTGCCTGCAGGAAGCACAAGACCCTGGCACTGATCAAGGACGGCCGAGTGATCGGGGGGATCTGCTTCCGCATGTT